CTTGATGCTGCATTACAGGTTGTTGGCATTGGATACATAGATACATTTTGAAGATTTGATCGAAAATGATGCCTTCTTGAAAAAAAATCGTCCTACTTTTTAGGGAAGCACGAGCGCAGGAAAGCGCGTGATTTAAAAAAAAATTATATAATAGGTCTTTGTCTCTATTGATTAACAAAAGAATGTCAGATGATGCCGATAAACGCCGAGATGCGCTACATAACACAGTTACATCAAGACAATACATCTTTATTCACTGCGATTTATTTTTATTAGGAAACATTTTAACAAACAAAACACCAACACAACCAAATACGCACATAAATTTCATATTCAGATTAAATTTTATTTGGAATTAGCAACTTAATGATAAATTTTTAAAAAGGTATCTACAGTATAGATAAAATATACATTAAATGACTTGTTGCAATTTAAAATATTAACAAAATGTAAAGACCTTAAAGATGTAAAGACCTTAAAGATAATAATAATAATAATAATAATAATAATAATAATAATAATAATAATAATAATAATAATAATAATAATAATAATAATAATAATAATAATAATAATAATAATAATAATTTGGGCCTCAAAGTGCTGGAGAACAGAGCAGTGACATTGGTTCCTTCTACTGTCTTCTCTTTGTCTCTGTGGTTGTTTGCTTTTGTTAGTCTTAGGATATTTCTCGGGGTTTTTTGAAGAATTTGTATTTCAAACGCATAGAGACTATTGCAATATGCGCTTAATAAATATATAGCCATTACCATTTTACCAAAAATAATAATAAATAAATAATAATAAGAGTGACATACCCATTATATTCTTCTGTAATTACTGTACATTGAAACATCAACACTACCACTACGTGTAGACCTATGTTATTCACGTTCATTAACATTTTATTACGTTGTAAATTTAGTATTGACAGGTCCAATGTTTAAATCCGTTTGTGTCCTGAAAGAAATATAAAATATCAGTTCATTATACATAAATTAATGTCAAGTAATGTCCGTAGAAAATTGTTTGTTGCAACTTAAAAATCTGAACTTATTTCATATAATAAATTTCAATTTAATTTAATTCAATGTTATGTGTCAAATATAATGGCCGTAGAAAAATGTTTCGATCTGTAATAAACAGGGCAAAACAAATCGATCTTTAATTAACCAGGGCCCAAGAAGTCTGCGAGAAACTAAAATAAAGAAAATATTCAATTTTTTTTATGTAGGCCTATTTTAGTATAGTACATGTCTGAAAATTATGCATTGATTTCTCTTTACTACTGGCGTTACATACATTTTGAGCTCGGCCGCTTTGGCCAGCGACCGCTTCGACCATACTCCGGGTAGTGTTGTTTCTCCATCGCCCTGCCCCCCCCCCCCCCCCCCCCCCCCTATTCGGACATCTCTGGATCTGCCCCTGATGTTTGATGTATGCTAATGACACAGCAAGGGAAGGTGATCTTCAGCAGCGATTTAATGACATGATGAACAAGTAACAGATGAGAAAACAAAAGCAACGAGTCAGCAAAATTGATGTCCCAAGGCAATTGAGGAAAACAAATCGAACAGGAGGAAGATGATGGTTTATCTAGAATATCCATCCAATAGAGGAACGAAGAATGAAAAAATAAAAATAAGGTTAATGATTGGTATAGAAAAATGGCAACAACTCTTAAAAAATATACACACGAAGGTTGTACGGTATGCGTCTGAAATATGGCCTATCATTCTATGACTGATAGGACAGAAGCATTAAATGCGGTTTCTCTTTCTTCTACAAGCTGCTATAGACTTCATTAGGGCCGGCTGAATGCCAGTGGTTTAGTGACGTCGTATCTGGAATGAATTTTATTTTGCTTATATATTGGCTTTTAAAAAAGAAATTTAAAAAACAATTTCGTAAACTCACTCCTTATCCGTGTATATGCACAAGGTGTAATTCATCATTCGGTTTCAGAGCACGAAGTTTTGCATTACGAGTATATTATGACATTGATAAAATGGTTAATAAAAATAAATTTTGTTAATAAAATATAAAATACATTAGATTATTCAACAAGAAGCCTCTAGTGAGATTTGAACTCACGACCCCTGGTTTACAAGACCAGTGCTCTAACCACTGAGCTATAGAGGCAACTTTTACTAACGACATTTTTAAATTCGATTTTGATAATAAAGTCGATAATAATTTTGATAGTATAATAATTGGTCAATAAAATATGTTTGATTAGCCATAGTTGACAAAGTGAATCTGTTGTATTTACATATTTTCATTCCTCCGTGATTTGACAGGGTTACGTTGTTTGTAAATAGATCAACTTTATTTTAAAATAAATAAAGTCGATAATAATGTTGATAGTATAATAATTGGTTAATAAAATATGTTTGATGTTTGATTAGCCAATAGTTGACAAGGTGAAAGCTGCTCGTAATTTTATCAACTTTTTCTGGAATCAAGAATAATTCATATTTGTTGGTAGTAAAAATGTTTGCTAATAAAATGTAAAGGTTAATAAAATATATTTTATGATAAAAAAATATAAAGCCCCTAGTGAGATTTGAACTCACGACCCCTGGTTTACAAGACCAGTGCTCTAACCACTGAGCTATAGAGGCAACGGTAATAAAGTTTAGTTTAAAATTTGCTTTTGATGGCTTTTGATTTAACGTATGAGACGGCATCTGTTGCATTTGCCGTGATGTCATTCTTATTGATTTTCTGCATAATATTATTGACATTAAACTAATTCCTCCTTGCTCCAAGTATCGAAATGCACGCCATCGTGTCGGGATTAAATATTTCGACATTAATTATGTCATCATCAGGAATTTCCTGCACGTCCGTTCACAACTGACGGCGCTGGACGCTTTTAAAGTTTTGGTAACAAGAACAGCAATGATTCTCTGGGGTCGGCGCCTTGTGCGAACCTAATATAATTTGGAACAATCTGTTAATAAAATAATATTACTAAGATTTGATGTTATACCATGTATAGTACGTAGCGCCTTGATCGATACATTACTTTTTTACGTTCGGTACAGCCCCCATGACCAGGGCAGATCCAGAGATGTCTGAAAGGGGATAAAAGTTTGGACGATCGAGATCACCACCCAAGGGGTCCGGGGGGATTCTCCTGCGAAATCGTTGTTTTAGCTAGACGCCCGAAAATAACTTGTGATGCGTTTTGGATGATTTTGTTTTTGTTTTTTTTTTACTTTCCAAAAGGAGGGGGAGGGACCGGCCCACCCCACCCCCTAAATCCGCCCCGATGAGGCTGAAAGTGATATAAAAGTAGATGCTAGGGTTTAATAAAATAACACTTTGTTATTTTATTTTAAAAAGTAGCACATCCTTTCATATTAGGGCCTAATTGCAGCATCATGGGGCTGTACCGAACGTGGAAAAGTAATGTAAAATAATATTAGTTAATAAAATAGGATATAAAATGTGTTTTGATTTGGTGATATTTGTACTCGCGACCTCTTGTTTACGGACCAGTGCTCTATACAACTGATTTACAACAGGCATAGAGGAAATTATTAAGAAAGTGTACGTTGGAAGTTTGTTTCTGTAAGAGGAAATTATTAATCGCCCAAAACTCCTCAGGTTATGCTGGCGTCTAGAAAACAAAAGGGTAGTGGGATTAGGGTCGAAGCTGCCGCGAATTGATCCACAGTTATTTGTACAAAACAAAATTTATATATATATAAATCAAGAATTATTTATTTCTTTAATTGATCAATTATTCTAACTTACATGTCTATTTTCTTACACAATTGGATGGTACTTTTTAAGTCGCCTCCTAATTCTATAATGAACATTTGTTTGTAATTTCTATTGCGACTTCGACTTGAAGATTGATATTTAGTTGATGTTTTACAAACTTGAGTTGTGTTTGTTTGTTCTGATTACTAATACATAATCCGTTATCAGTTGTTGGTATTATTATTATTATTATTATTATTATTATTATTATTATTATTATTATTATTATTATTATTATTATTATTATTATTATTATTATTATTTTTGTTGTTGTTGTTGTTATAATAATAATTATTATTATAAGTCGATGTTTTACAAACTTGCGTTGTGTTTATTTTTTCTGATTACTAATACATAATCCGTTATCATGAAGTTGTTGGTATTATTATTATTATTATTATTATTATTATTATTATTATTATTATTATTATTAAGTCGATGTTTTACAAACTTGTGTTGTGTGTGTTCTGATTCATTATCATCATCATCGTCATTATTATTATTATTTTTATTTGATGTTTTACAAACTTGTGTTATGTTTGTTCTGTTTACTAATATATAACCCGTTATCAGTTGTTGGTATTAATATTATTATTATTACTTGATGTTTTACTAACGTATGTTGTGTGTGTTCTGATTACTATCATCATCGTCATTAACATTATTATTATTATTATTATTATTATTATTATTATTATTATTATTATTATTATTATTATTACTATTACTTGATGTTTTGCTAACTTGTGTTTGTTCAGTTTACCAATACATAGCACACTATCATTTGTTGGTATTACAAAATACTAAATTCATAAAATTTAATTCTTAGCATAACATTTTATTATTGCTTTAAATGTCAGCAATTAACAACATTGGATTCTACGTACGCAATTTAATTCTTATCTTAATATTTAATTATTGCTTTACTATAGTCAATAACTAAAAATAAATAATACATTCATCTTACAGAATTGGATAGTATGTTTTAGCTCGACTCTTAATTTTATGAACATTTGTTTGTAATTTCTATTACGACTTCGACCTGAAGAATTATTTGATAGTTTTCAGACTTGTGTTTTTTTGTTCTGATTACTATATATAATCCGTTATCAGCGGTTGGTCTTATTATTAGGCCTATTATTAGTGGATGTTTACTAACTTGTGTTGTGTGTGTTCTGATTACTATCATTATCATCATCATCGTCATCATCAGCATTATCATCGTCATCATCATTATTACTATTATTTGATGTTTTGCTAACTAGTGTTGTGTTTGTTCTGATTACCAATACATAGCACATTATCAGTTGTTGGTGTTATAAAATACTACATGCATACACAATTTCATTCTTAGAATAACATTTTATTATTGCTTTACCAAAGTCAACAATTAACAACATTCCATTTTACGTACGCAATTTCATTCTTATCTTAACATTTAATTATTGTTTTACTATAGTCAATAATTAACAATAAATAATACATAGGCCTACATACAATTTAATTCTTATCTTAGAATTTGATTATTGTAACAATGTCATCTCGTGTGTTGCTCATGAACTTCAAAATTCAAATCTGATGGGTGCCTTCGGCGTGATAATTTCCTCTTCTGGTTTGCCTGTCTTGCGAGGCACGATGGCTTTGGCAGAGTTGGGTGTAGTTCGATCTGTTCAACCCCAATATCTTCTCGTAGCACTTTATCAACTATTTCCGCCACAGAATCATATGGTCTTCTCATGGCTTCTAACTTTATGTTGCGCCGGATGACAGCTACTTTCCCTCGTCCTATAAATACGGAAATAAAAAAAAAGTATTTACTTGAAATAGAACTTCAGATTGTGATAGGCCTATTTTAAACATAACTGGCATCATAAAACATATGTGATCATGTAATTCACGAGTGTAATTAATATAAAATCAATGTATCTAAGCGTATACAATAACGAATGTAATGAATGTAGATTAATGTATTTAAAAAGTCGGGTGTTACAAGACGATTGTGATATTTTAAACATACCTGGCATCATACCGCATATGTGATCATGTAATCCAGGAGTGTACTCCCCGCCTTTCTGAATAACAGTAGCTTTGCAAGTTCTAGCCTTCGTCCGAAGAGAACAGCGCCAGATCGTGTTCGCTCGTCGCTTGTCAACTTTTTTGGTATACTGGTAGCCAAGACTGTCTACCAAAGTATCCTGTGAAAATAGAAATACTGTAGATTAATATAGCATTATGAAATATACAGCATGGTTTTTAGATATTTTCAAAAACTTATATACTTTTTAATCCATAAACCTGTACTCACAATGCTATAGATTATACTTTAATATCACTGCATATTATCTATTGATTTCGTTTTCAAAGATTACAATACCATATTTTTTAGTAGAAATGTATACTTTTTATCAATCCATAAACTTGTGCTTACAATATGCTATAGATATTACTTTAATTAATGTTATGACTAAATATCTAATAGATCATAGATTACAATACCTTCCCACAAGCTGATGTGCCCTCTAGCACCGTGTACGTTATTTGGTCATCCTCATCGTCATTTTCAGGATTAGGTTGGGGATAGGGATCGTTAATCTCAACTTCTTGGTGCGAATCTGGTTTCTTGAAGGGTCCTAGGCCGGCGGCATAAACTTCTAATTTGTCAGGTAATTGCTGAACGTTGTCATTAACAGCACACTCGTTGCAACTCCGTTCGATGTAATTCTCCCTTACAGCTCGCTGACACTCCGCTTGCGTTACTCCAGAATCACGCTCCCGATGTTGCCATCTCTCACACTCCTCACAAAACAGTGCTCCTTGATGCTGCGTCACAGGTTGTTGGCATTGGATACATTGATACATTTTGAAGAGTTGATCGAAAATGATGCCTTCTTGAAAAAATCGTCCTACTTTATAGGAAAGCACGAGCGCAGGAAAGCGCGTGATTTTTTTTTAAATTATTATATTGTCTTTACTGATTGACAAAAGAATGTCAGAAGATGCCGATGAACACAGATGTGTTACAGATAGGCGTTAATTGCGCTACATCAAACAGTAACATCAAGACAATACATCTTTATTCACATGCGTCGTTGCGATTTATTTTTATTTGGAAACATTTTATCAACTAAAACACCAACACAAGCAATGAAATACGCACATAAATCTCATATTCAGATTAAATTTTATTTGGAATTAGCAACTAAGTGTGTATTTGAAAAAATATATCTACAGTATAGATAAATATCATTACTTGTTGCAATTTAAAATATTAACAAAATATATATAACTCTATACCATTTATTTATTTGGTTTACAGTATAATTAAATAACTTAATAATTATATTAATAATAATAATAATAATAATAATAATAATAATAATAATAATAATAATATATTCTTCTGTAATTACTGTACATTGAAACATCTACAGTACCACTACGTATAGACCTATGTTTCTTACGTTCATTAAAATTTTATTACATTCTAAACTTAGTATTGACAGGTCCCATGTTTAAATCCGTTTGTGTCACGAAAGAAATATAAAAAATAACAGTTCATTATACATAAATTAATGTCAGGTTATGTCCGTAGAATAATGTTTTTTGCAACTTAAAAATCCGAACTTATTTCATAATAAATTTCAATTTAATTCATATGTAATGTCCGTAGAAAAATGTTTCGATCTGTAACCAACAAAGGAAAAACAAATCAATCTTTAATTAACCACGGCTCAATAAGACTGTGAGAAACCAACAAAAAAATATTCAATTTTTTATATAGTTTAGTATAGTACATGTCTGAAAATTATACATAAAACAGAATGAAACATATTGACTTTTTAAGATAGGTTATTACTACAATTGACGAGTGGGCCTACGATATGAACGCTAACCAACGATATACCGTATCCAAATCAATCCTTATAGCGCTATTGGCGTTCCATACATTTTGAGCGCGGTCGCTTTGGCCCGTTAACAAAAAGCCAGAGCTGTTGCGCCAAAGAAAAATACATTTTAATGTTGCTCATTTTTTCTATGGTAATATCAATTTATATGACTGCGACACATAGTACATTTAAATGCACAGCAATTTTTTTAAAGGTTCGTGTTTCTTGAATATCGAGAAAAGTCTTCAGCGTCATCAAGACCCGCAACATAAGGACTTTCGGTTAACATTGAAAATACAACCAACGTCCTCCTTGTTGAACCGAGTCACGTCGAAAGAGGAGTCAATGGAGCCCATACTTTAGGCAGTTAAATCATACGTTAATGGCGGGAGACAATCTTCAAAATGTGTGGATCGAGTAGTTCCTGAAATATAGAAGAGGAGGCCACTGATGGATAGGCTAATGGAGTTTATATTTTGACTTAATTTAATTTGTCCTAAAAAATGTGTCACATTGTTCTTTATCCCGCTAAACTATCGTGGGAGGGATATTCGAGGAGCAGATTATAATAGTAATGATTTATTTAACTTTTGTTACAGTGGCACTCGTCAATTGTTGGTGCGTTCAAAACCACAAAATTACAAAATGAAGAAGTTACATTAAAATTCATACAAAAAACAAAAAACCACAAGCACAACATTTGAAACAACCTTCCTTTCTCAATTATATATCAAATCAATAACAAAATTTCAAAAGTAACATAATTGAGTCAAAACACATATTTATTTGTACACACAAGTATACAACACAAAGCAGATACGGTTATAAATACATTAATTTACTGTACAGTACTATAGGCCTATACTGTAAATGCATACAGGAACTAGAGCGATCTGACTCTAATAACCCGACGTACATTGGAGAGTATTGTTTCGTTCTGAAATTAGCTGAAAGCAAATAACTTCTTGAAATATTCAAAGTAAGCAATTCATTTTTTTTCAATTTTATTCTGTATTTGATTTACGTGGATGCATATCTATTATTGGATAGCAATTTCAGAACGTAATGTATATTTGTCTATCTATTAACCAAATACACATTTTTACAAGAACAGCGAGGCTGAAATTGCTTAAAACATACGAACAAAATAAGAAAAAATTGAGACTGAAGTAAAATGTAAAATGTTGTTTTTATTTTAAAAATCTAAAAAAAAAAATAAATGAAATAAAACAAATCTGTACAATAATGTGTAGTAGGTGTGACGTTGTAATACCCTCTATAATACAATACAGTAATATACCACTGTACTATAATAATTTCTATGTTTGAAAAGTGTGTAAAATAAGAAAAGTTTGAGTCTGAAATTGTAAAAAATATGAACACTGAGCAAAATGTTACTGGTTCTTGCAAAAAAAAAAGTAATCAAGAAGACATAAAAGATAAAACTTTTATGAACCCAACACAATTTTCTCATACTTTCATGTTAACAATTAATCTAACACCGAAATTAAATACAATACAATATATCTTTATTCATCCCACATGAGGCAATTCAATAAAAGGATCTGGATTACAAAGCTAAAAAAAAAAAAAAAAAAAAAGGAAAAAAGTTAGTCATAAAATTAAATCACTCACAATTTTAATTGGTTAGGCCTATTGTTCAAAAGTCGAGTGGCCACTGGCACGAACGAATTAGTTTAACCAACAAATAAAGTACAAGGTTAAAACACTCTCGATAAGGGAATATAAAATATTCTAATAATAATTTTATCAACATTAAAATGGTTTAGCTTCAAATCTTTGATGTCCCTTTTTCGTAATCAACTCAGTAGGCCAATTTAATCCCCAGCCGAGATTGTCCTCAAAGATTGTACCTTTTAATTATTTAAATGATTGGACAATATCGACTGGTTCGTCATTAATGTTCGAAGCGCGTGGGTTGTGTCCTTTCTCCCTTCTAAATTCCACTATCGTCTCCATAGTTTTGGTCCCAAGTACGATTCTCAAAAAAAAAAAATGGATGAAATCATCCAAAGCGGTACCATGACCTTCCTGAGCATCCCGGAGAAGAGAAAGCAAGACAGTGTCATCAGCAAACTTGACGAGATAACTATTTTCCTGTTCGCTGCGACAGTCTTCCGTGTAGATGATGTAAAGTGGAGAAAGGTACATAACCCAGGGGAGATCAAATACCGTATTCGTTACAAGTACGTCTGAGTAGGTTTGATTAATTAAAACTCTTTGACATCTATTTGTTAGAAAACTCTGGATTGGTCAATACTCTACAAATATAACCGAAACTTTTTAACTTTATTATAATTAACAATAACATTTTAATATTTAAATATTCGTTCTACTACTTCTACTGCTGCTTCTACTACTGCACTGCTACTACTGCTGCTAATGCACTGCTACTACTACTGCTGCTACGCTCTTGCTACTACTACTACTGCTACTACTACTACTACCACGCTCTTGCTACTACTACTACTACAGTACTACTATTACTACTACTACTACTGCTGCTGCTACCGTGCTGCTGCTGCTGCTGCTGCTACTACTACTACTACTATACTGCTACTGTACTACTGCTACTGCCACTGCTGCCACTATAATAATAATAATAATAATAATAATAATAATAATAATAATAATAATAATAATAATAATAATAATAATAATAATAATAATAATTATTATTATTATTATTTAATCGTTGCATCTGTTATTTTTATTGTTAGTTTTAGAAAGATTTTTCCAATTCCATCATGATTTGGAGCTTTCCTGCTGTTTTCCTGAACCAAAACTAATTAACAAAACAGTGAATGACTTAGTTCAATAACAATTTTCTTATTTGTTGTCACATCTCACTACAACAAACATCAACTATACAATTATTTTTTAGACTTTGGCAAAATATGATTAAGATTAACATAAATAAACATAGGCCGATGTATATGCATTAATTGCATTGCGATTAAATTAGTATTAATGTGCCTATATAAAAAGACTTTAAAAAATATGTAAATTGTTGTCTTTCCAGTCAATATCAGTGCAACTAGTGTTTTCCTTAGCTCATTAGTTTATTAGTACACATTTCTAAAATGTCTTTTTGAATAGGGGAGTTTTAATAATATAGAGTTTGTTTTTCCACAGACCCAATAGAATGCTTTTATCTGTGATTGTCAATTTATTAATAGCCCTGTGTGTTATGTGGAAGATAGAGGGAGCATTATATACATAGCCTCCCTTACCTTCCTTCAGTGAGATGCACAATATTTCCATGGCAACAAAGATCGTTAAATCAGTCAAGGTCTCAATCAATTTAACATGTCCCGGTTGATATTTCAATGATAATATTTAGAGCATTCAACAAACAGTAAGTGCTTTTCAAAGCCATGTCGTTGATTGTCACGCAAGTTCGCTCGTAACTTAAACACACTATAAAATTATGAATTAGTCGATCAATTTATATTTTTCCCCCTTAAACATCCATATAAGCAGTTCGCGATATCATTTTGTCGTTCCTAACGGTTTAGTAAATATTATTTAGCAGTCATGAGATAAATAGAGATAAACGATTTATTACCGCGATTTCTTTTAAGAGTTCTTTAATAGAAGCAAGTGTTTTCTGTACTCCCTTTAAGATCGAAAAGCTTCAAAGTACGTGGCCGTATCATGAACTCATATCGCATGCCAAGTACAAATTTA